TTGTTTTGGTGGATTGAACCAATTTTTTCTACCGCTTTACATATTTTACTTAAGGGTTTGATTGAAAATAATATTTCTTCCTCTACGTCAATGGAGTTGTATAATTCAATACACCATAGACCACCAAATAACCAACCCTAAACTTCCATACCATATAGTTAAGTCAATGCCGAAAGAATAAGAAGAAAATAGACCACTCAACTTATTACATCAAGACCCGTTTTTACATAATTTCGATTTATCTATAACCTTATTAAAGTAGTAAATTGATGCAATATTGCAATCTACTAGAGATTCGACTCGTGTAGACGAGCACCACTATTCTTTCGCAAATAAGGCACACCTTGGTAGGTGTGCCAAGGTCTTTGTAAAATATCTTTTAAATGGGACATGTGTCCCATTTCTATTGGATAATGAATTTTATATATAATATTATATAAATTACATTATTATTCATATTTTATATTAAGAAATAAAAATGAAAATACCAAAATTCATAATTTTTCATTCTCTACAAATAGAGAGCACATTTGATAAGTTTTAGAATACAATTAATTTATTTTGTTGGAAGATGAAGACTGAGATCCATAATAAGATGAACATGTTACTTAGTAGATGAACATGTTATATAATAAGATGAACATGTTATATAATAACATGTTATAGAATAAGATGAACATGCTACATATTTACACAATAAGATGAACATGTTGTAAAATAAGATGAATATGTTACAAAATGTGAACATGTTATAGAATAAGATGAACATGTTATGAACATGTTACATAGTAAGATGAACATGTTATAGAATAAGATGAACATGTTACATATTTACACAATAAGATGAACATATTATAAAATAAGATGAATATGTTACAAAATGAGATGAACATGTTATAACGTAAGATGAACATGTCCGTAACATGTTCATCTTATTTGATAACATATTCATCTTATTATGTAACATGTTCATCCTATGTCAGTATAATAAATTAATTACGAAAAAAAATTAATTATGTTAAAAAAAACCTATCACATGTGGTCTCTATTTATAGACAATGAAAATTTATGAATTTTGATATATTTATTTTTTTATTTTAATATAAATCATTAATGATATTTTAATATATCTAATATGTCTCATTTTCAATTAAAAAAAAAAGAAAGTGGCATGTGTACGTGATTAGGCGCGTGCATAATTGCCCTGGCACACCTAGCAAGGTGTGCCAGGGCACACGATAGTGGTACTGATATTCTTTGTTGCTAAAGTGATATTAAAATTAAAATTAAATAAAGAGAGAAAAAAATAAAATTACGGAAAAGTCCTCCACCCACCATCAAATTTCAACAGCTTTTATAAAACAAACCCGTCCATCATCTCAGTGTTCTTTGCAACTTTTCCCAGGAGACTCGCTGTATTTTCAGAAGCTCCTGATTTTACCAGGTAACACTCGTTTTCTGCTTCGCAAACGAGCTTATATATTCATACACGCGCGCCCATTCAGTTTTCGTTCGAGTCTCGTCTCAAATGGGTCGTTTGACTTTTTGGGTAAAAGTGAAAGGGATTGTTGTTTGATTCTACCGTGATTGCTCATCTGATGCTCTTGATGTTAATTTTTCGCGTTTTAGTATAATTTTATTTCGTTATTTTGATGCTGATTTTTATATTTTTATGGACCTTTGCAGTGGAGATTTATTAATACAGTATTGATTCTTTTCCCTGTACCAGAATCCCTCTCTTTTTCAGTTTTATTTAATTTGAAAAGAATCGTAATTTTTATGGGGTTTCGATTTGATTTGTTGGAAGCAATTGTTTCACTTATAGTTGAGATATGTATATAATATACTTACATAGATGCATATGATCTGTATTCTGCAGACACCCAACAAAATTTCTGTCTTGTAAATACTAATAATGAAAAATTAAAGTTCTAGCTGAATAACCATCGTCAGTCCACTTGTTGTTAACGATAGAAGGATGAGTAGTAGTCGTGAGTGTATTCCAAAACTTTCGTAGTTAATACATCTGTTCCGTTTTCTTTTTGGGAGTATTACTTAATTCCAGAAGGTGTACATTCTGAGTATGTGTTATTATGATCATCTGTCTGTTTCTTTTTCAGACTACTTTACCGATAAGTAATGGTACAATCCGTAGTAGTTGAATAAATACAAGTGAACTTACCGTCAACATCTCTTACAGTTCAGATCTCAAATCTTTTATTCGTCAGGACTAGATTTGTTGCACGCTCAACTTCGCTGTATGACACGTGTTGAGATTAGGTGAAAGCCAATGAAAAATTATAACTCGATCAATAAGTGTGTACGTCATTCTATGGCAAGGCTAAGCTCGTGGTTTTACTTATTTTATTCACTTTTATGATCATAACTAGTCATTTTGGAGAAAACGAGTTTTAACATGATCGTCTAACATTCTTCTGTATATTAAATATTGTGTTCTTCTCTCCAATTCTCTCACTCACTCACTCTCTTTCTCGCACACACATACACACACACTCACCCAAAACAACTACTTGTTTCATTTATAGCTCCCCATGAATATTTCAGTCCCCAAATACCCAAAATACATGGTGGAAGAGGGCTCCAAACAGAACACACTCTTGATGGAGGACGAAATTCTGTTGTACACCAACTGGGATGACGTCAAATGCCCCATATGCCTCGACTCCCCACACAACGCTGTCCTCCTCCAATGCTCGTCTTACGGAAATGGGTGCCGCTCGTTTGTGTGCGACACAGACCACTTGCACTCAAACTGCCTCAACCGCTTCAAACAAGCCAACGGGATGCCGTCTGGCCGGAAACTTCCGAGCATCTCTGAAAATCTGCAGTCGTTAGATTCTTCGCCACCCGACGGCAAGCCTGCCTGCCCTCTGTGCAGGGGAGAAGTTTCCGGATGGATAGTGGTCCACAAGGCCCGTGCACACTTAGACGAGAAAAACCGGTGCTGTGAGGAAGACAAATGCCGTTTCTCCGGAACCTACACGGAGCTCCGGAAGCACGTGCAGCTCGAGCACCCGTACGCGTGTCCTTCTAAAATTGACCCGGCCCGCCAGCTGGACTGGGAGAACTTCCAGCAGTCGTCCGAGATAATCGATGTCTTGAGCACGATACACTCGGAAATCCCGCGTGGCGTGGTTTTGGGGGATTACGTGATAGAATATGGGGATGATGATAACTCGGGGGACGAGTTTGAGGATTTTCGTGGGGCCGAGGGGAACTGGTGGAAATCTTGCATTTTGTATCAAGTGTTTGAGAAGTTCAGGGCTTCCAGGAACAGGAGGAAGTCGAGGGTGGGCGGGACCCACAGGTTGAGTTATGATGCCTCGTATTCGGACGAGGGCTCGGTTTCGTCAGTGGAGTACGGGGATTATAGGGCAAACGAGGCCGAGGATGATTTTGTGAACTTGAGGAGGCTGGCTGAGGGAAGGGCCCGACAGAGGTGAGAGAAGTCGACTATTGTAGGTACTGTACATGTATATGTGTGTACGGAGACTTTTTTGGTCAGACCAACCAAGTGCTGAACCTTTTTTTGGTCCAAGTAACTCTTTTTTCAGGATCAAAGTTCTCAAAATCTGGTGTTTTATGTTAAAAGCCTATTTTTTGTGTTCTATTTTTTAAAAGAAAGATTTTTAAGGGACCAATAAATTTGCAAATTGATGTATGCATTAGAAATTCTAGTTTCTGATGCTTCAAAATGAAAAATATATGAGTTTGTCATTTGGTCTTGATTAGCGAAAGGATTGCTATGACTGCCCGTTTTACTTAACAGGATGAAAAATATTAAATATCTTCTTTCCAAGGTTGTATCTTATATGATCTCCAAGTTGAAGACTGATATACGTCGCTTATAGGTTTCTCTTTTCCTTGTATTAACTTTACTTGTCTCACAGCTCACGAAGGCGCCGTTTCCGTATCTATGACAACTAGGTAAGCACTTTCCAGTTTAATCTGTTTCATGATTTGTCTTTTTTAATTTTTTTTATTTTTTTGGCAATTTACTTTGATGAGATGAATGTGGATTTCATTAGTTCTTCACACAGAACATGTTGTTTAGTTTCCCCTAGTACATCTCCTGGAGATGAGACCAATCTTTTACTTTTTTTCAACTGTATTTTGAAAACAGTATTTTGTTTATGTACTGGTAATAATTTATAGTATTAATGTAAAACAGAATAGAGTTCTCCAACAGCTAAGGAATGGAAAAGAAAAGTTTATTACTGATCTGGGTTTAGTTTCTGGAAAGTGGACAGCGAGCACTGTTGATTACATGTAAAAAATTCTCAGAACAACATAACCGACTGCTGTGTTCGTTTTTAGTAACTTCTTTCTCAGAAGTGGTGATTTTTTTTTTCTTTTTTTTTCTAGATGAGTTTCCGGTATTTGGTGTTCAACGTGCGCGCTGTTTAATGATTATTCGTTTTTAACTTAATGTAAAAACTCTCTCCCCTTAGCTTCTCATTTGACGAGGTTGCAAGGGATAGAAATAATGTAATGATACAGAAATGCTTTATTGTTGGCGTCACCATGTTCCTGAAAAACAGCTGAGTATATAAGGTTTGTTTGAATTTTTATTTCCTATGTTTCCTATGCGGTCTTTCAGAGCAACACAGTTGAGTGCAAGGATGAATAAGCTGCAAAATCAGTTGCGTACAAGTAATAAGAATCCTCGTCTTTTTGGGTGGTTTTCTGATTAAACTAATGAACCGCTGATTGGAATCTGGTAACGTGAGGTCCTTATGGCTGCAAATGAAGTATGGTTGCCAACTTGCCATGTGTTTGATTTTAGAGAAATGTTATAGGTACGTAATATTGTACATAGGGGTGTACATAACTCACATTAAGTGGGACCGACCAAAAACAAAAAATCAAGTAGACCCCACTCTATGTGAGTGTTATGTACATTTCTATGTATATTTATTATGTACTTGTAGCATTTTTCTTGATTTTAATGGTATATTCGGTTAGAAGTGGAGCTCCTTGTTTATAGGGTCCCTTTCTGCATGAATTAACGATTCTTGGAGTATTGAAATTTTAATGTCGTTCGAGTTACCATTTTAAAGTTTAGGAGTCGACTGAAATGTCTTTTATAGAACAATTCTACTTTTCGATAATAATTTGTACTTGTGCATAATCTCAAGGTTTGTTTGT